CATGTATTGCAAGCATGCAGCTCTGGAGAAAGACTCCCTTACTGTCTTCAGTGATTATTCAAGGGACGGGGAAAAGAAAGAATAGCCTTTGATAGTAACAAAAAAAAAGCAAGTGTGGAGAAAGCAATGTATTAAATCCTTTTCACAGCCAAGAGGCCAAAGAAAATGCTATATATTTATAAAGGAAATGAAAACCTGTCAGGAACAAAATGAACTGAATAACAGAGTTTGGGCTGAATAAAGAGAAGCAAGAACTCAAGAACCAAAACACCAACCAGGGTGGAAAATATGGCATCCCTGGAAAGAGGGCTCTGAATGGATGTACAGCCCATTTGTATGGACTGGCCTGGATTCTAACTCCACAACTGGAAGAGCTGGCCTATAATAATTCTAAATCTTTGATGGTGAAAGATTACCAGAAAAATCACTGGGAAAATTCATGAAAACTCACATAAAACACAACTACTATAAACCCAAGTACTGCTGTCTTGATAGAAACAAGGTTTTTTAGTGCGCAGATGACTTGGATTCAATTCCTGATATTAAATAATTTAGTTTTATGTATCTAATTGCAGGAAGTTTGTGCGATTTCAAAAATAAACAACATAAGTATTTCATATTCAGATACTTAATTACTATTACCATATTGACTGCAGGAAATAGGATTAACCACACATTATATTTTGTCAGAGGATAATGTCAACAATCTTCAAGTGATGGCTACCAATGAATTAGCTGGGGGTACTACATTAAAAACAAAATACAAACCACAGCCATGAGGAAGGAGAATTCTCAATAAACTGGCATAATCATCTTTCCACTTGGACTTCCCAGTAAATCCAGGAGGGGAATATACTGTGTATGTACAGTTAAAGGGAAGAGAGCTGGAAGGTCTCCTGAAACTTTCCTTTCTTAGGTGGGTCATCAGTGCAGTCATTCAATAGATCCAAAAACGAATCCTACAAAGAACAACAATGCTCCTCCCCCCCCCACCCCATTCCTACAGAAAGATTTGGTGAACCAGCAGGAGGATCTGCTGGAATGTATTTCCAAAAGGACCTGAGTGTGGCACGACCTGTGCAGCTCACCAGGCCACCTCCTCCTCCTGGTGGCTGGGCACTGCTGCTGGGGGAGATCAACCACAAAGGTCAGAAGTATCTGCAGCATTTAACACCAAACTCTCCCAGGGCTCTGCCCCTGATCCACCTCCCAGTACCCTCACACAAACAACCAAGCCATGGGACATGTCCCTGGCAGGTTTCATCAAACATCATCAGGCATTTCCTACGAAATAAAGCTCTCCAGAGCAGCTGGTTTAACTCCCTGCACAACCAAACCCACCTACAGCCAGGAAGCCTGTGCTGTGCCAAACCCCCACAGGATACCGTGAAGTACAGCCTGGAGAGTCCACTTCAGCTCTCTCCACACAGACATACTGTTATTTCAGAGGAGAGCAGCAGAGGTTAAGTTGTGAATTAATGGAAGTGTTGGTCTTAAATCTGAAAATATGCTTTAAAAAAAAAATAACACCAAACCACAACAACTTGCTGAGATGCACTGGGTTTGCATCTTCCTCACCACAGACTGCAGTTACCTCTCTGTACAGCAACACAAGGGAAAGGGCATAACATGAAAAGAGCACAGGCACAGCCCTTGTACATGAAAGGTAGGTTGAGAATCTCCACAGAGGCACTTCAACATCTCTTGCTATATAGAAGACAATGCTCTGATACTCCTCTTATTTGCTTTTCATCATCTTGAGGATTCCACAAATCCTCGAGTGCGCTGGGAGCTGTCGAACAGATTCTGCAGGGGAAGGTTGGCACTGGTGGAGGGAGGGAGGGAGTGTGGCAGCATTCCACTGGTCTCCAAGGCAGGGACAGACACTCCAACCACTTCACATCTCCAGAAATCCCAACTGCAGCTTTCAGCAGCCCTGCCTCACTCCTTTTCAGACACCAGGTTTAACATCAGAGGGGCATGAAAACACAACCCCCCACGATTCGAGGGAAGGCACAAATCCACCATATCCAGGGGCTGCAAAGCTGCCCCAGCTTCCCCAGATAAGGGAGTGGCCTCAGGGCAGCTCTGCAAGCTCGGCAACACTTTGAACCAGAAATTCCTCAATGCCTTTTAGCCTTGAGAGCAGAGTAAATCCCTTCAACACTAACCAGCATCCAAATTAGCAAGGAAGAAATTCCAATTAATGTCCCCGGAGAAACTGGCTCTGGCAGAAGGAATTAGCACTCTCCTCCTTCTCCACTCTGGACAGTGGAGCAGTACTTGTTTGCACTCACAGCTAACACACTGCAGGAGCCCAACACACGTGCTGTTCCTCAAGGGAACAGCCCCTGACAATGCATTAAGGCCAACCTGCCTCACAGCTAATGCTGCACTTCCCAGTGATTTGCCCAGGATCTCCCACATAGGATTCACACCTGGCTTCAGCCCTTACAGATGGACTGGTGGATTCAGAGCTCATCCTGCCAGAAATCAGCACTTCTTATACCTACACAATTTTGCTCTGGCTCTTTCTGTGACAAAGTGGGGCTATAGGCCAGTGATTTTCACCTTTCAAAAGCAGAGAAGCCCTGCCTGGTTCCCAAGGTTGGCACTGCTGGTACAGCACACCCAGCCTGAGGCTGCTGCTAGGTGTTTTCCAGAGTCTAAAACAGAGAGCAGAGCTCCACAGCAGCCTTACACGAGGATTTAGGAGTTGGGACACCTCATCAGGAGTTGTGTCCTCATCTCCCCCAGAGACAAGGCAGGAAAGCAGAGCTGAGCTCTGTCCTCGAATCCCCCATGTGCACCCTGAAAGGTCGATTACTGGAACATTTACCTCAGAGCTAGTTTCTCAGATCGACTTTTCCAGATTGATCCAGGGCCCAAAGGCACTAATCTCAGGCTTTAGCAAGTGAGAGCTGTGCCTGATTTCCAGCAATGCCTGGTATGTACAGCAGCAGGGAACAACAGACACCTCCAGGCACTGCCATGGAAAACTCTAGTCATTATCCTTATAATTTTGTATTATTTGATTCAGCAACACAAAATCTTTCATCAGATGTGACAGAAAGGGAAACTGCTGTATTTACATAGAGTAGCACATAGCACATATGTTTCTGTGTGTGCGTGTGTGTGTGTACACACCCTCCGTATGTTCTTCCAGGAAGCCTACAGGAATCAAAATCTATCTCTGTTTGAGTTAGATAACCCTCACAGACTTTCTTTAAAACCCCTCCATTTTTTGTTTCCTCAACGTTGCAAGTTTATCCAAATATCCTAAAACTGAAGTACAAATGAACAGCAACAATTCTGCCCAAGCTCCACCTAATCTAGACATAAGCAGCATTTCTAAAGTCATTGCCAACACTAGGAGGATTTCCTTGCCCTCTCTGACCTAGCAAACTGTGGCCAGCTGCTCAGTTTCCCCCAGATCTTGGTAACTCTAAGCCATATGAAGTTTTAACAGCGATGCCAGGAGTAGGTGCAGAAGGGGAACAGAGCCAGCCCTCTGCAGCCGCCTCCCACCAGGAGAAATTCCCATGTTCCAAAGCAATGGCAGACACTCTGCATGCTCACTTTGGAAAGCCTACAGAGCCTCGATGAGAATCAGAAAGCAAAATGCTTTATGGCACATTCAGAGCCCAGATAATATTGTTGAACTGGAGGCAACTACATTTCAACAAAAGTACTTCTAAGAGGACCCAACAGCAGGAGGTTTCATGGCTGTGCACAATATTTCCAGCAACATCAGCTGAAGTTCTGAACCCTGCATAGCCAGGACTTCACTTAAGTCTACTTTTTGGCATACTGTGGGACCACGGAGGCCATCAATATAAAGACTATTTTCCTCAATGCCAGTTCATAAAGGAGCACCAGCAAAAGACATGAGCTACCACCAAGAACCCATGGAGTTCTCTCTCAGGTGAGGAGGCTGCTCCCCCCCAAGAAGTCCCACAGACTGGGGGGCCTGACACCATGCTGCCCATGCTGTAAGCACAGCAGCCACCTCAAAAGGGACCCCTAAGGAAGTAAATTTAGAGATGAACTCTCAGTCCCACTTAAGTCAGTGATACTTTTGTGATGAGCTCTAACGGAGCCATGAGCTCAGATCATGATGCAGCTGGTTTTTAGAAGGAGGACACCAGGGTGCAGCCCAGCTCTGCTGTCTGCCTGCAATATCACGTGTCAAAACACTTCCAGTACCAGTAGAACAGATAAACCATTGGGATGGCAGCACATCCACACCCTGAAGGCACCTCATACTGCCAGATGAAACAGCAGGAGGAGGTGAGGCCTGGGCAGAGTGAGCTGCAGATCTCCCCAGCACATCCCAACACCACAACACATGGCCCCTTGCACCACTTGCCCCCCCTTCTCTGCTATGGTAACACCTCAGAAAGGCATCACACAACATAAACATGGGAAGTTCAGATTTCCAGATAAGACAAGGAAAACCGTGACTTCTTGCATTTCCAAAAATCTCATGGTTGGTGGAGGTGACCTGACCCCCATCAGGCTCCAGCACAGCTTTTCTTCTGCCTAAACCCAACAGCTCCAAGTGCTGTGCCCCAACAGGAGTTTGGCACTTTGGATATTTAACAGCTTCTGTATTTGCAGAAGAGCCACTGCAGAGCACACACCACAAGGAGGTCACCTGGGCTTGTCACCTGGGCTTGGCACAGCTTTAGGAGGTACCCACAGTAGCTGGCCCAAAACCTCCACTTCTCTCGTGGCATTTCATGCCCATTTTGCTGGAACACCTCTTAAAACCCCAGTCAGTCTGTAAGACACACTGGGTGATTAAACAGGGGCAAAAGCTCATAATTAGCAGTCCACAGCAACCAGACAGCACCCCTGATCAGAGAAGAGAGAGGCTGCAGGTGATTCTGACAACAGGGGAACCAGCACAGCAATGGTGCCCACACCTCTGGTACCTCCTTGCTGCAGCTGCTCTGCAGCCACCACTTCTTGGCTCTGTCCATCACTGTGTCCATCACCTCTTGGCTCTGTCCATCACTGCAGCCATCACCTCTTTGCTGTCCATCCCCCATATAGGGGCAGCTCTCCAAGTGTGGGCAGATCCAGGCTGGTAAAGCCCATGTGCTTCTCCAGAACAGCCAAGGCAGGAGAGGCACCCCCAGGAGAAGCCCCTCATTCCTGCCTCACTGCTGCACTGCCACCCTCCCTGTGGGACAAGCCATGGCACCAGCCCCAGTGGGAGCTGTCAACGGAAGCAGAGAACATTCTATGCTCCCCTGTCATCACAACGGAGGGAGGCACAGAACCTTCCAGAACACGCTGCTCAATCATGAGCCTCTCACCCCAAGGGGGGCACCTGGGGCCAACCCCCCACTCCTTCCACAAGGCCACTCGCCTCAGGTTTAGTGTGAGCTGCTCAGAGAACCACAGCACACTCTCCACAGTTAATGTAAAATATTAATGTCTCATTTGTTCAACAATTTTGTGGAAATTAAAACTTTTAGGTTAATCATATACTGAACAATTTTAATTAAAGCAGTTATAAAACAATTAATCCACGAGAGCAGGCTTGGATCCTTGCCAGCCTTATTGGTTTAATACATGTAGGCAAAGCTTATTTCTCCCCGTGTTTGACTTAATGAATGCTAATAAGTGACACAAAATATGCATGCAGAGCTCCTAATATAGTTAGTCCATCTGGTTTCACTTGCATTTTGTATTTGTCATTTTGCTTTGATAGAGGAATTGAAAATGAATTCTCTGCGCTAGAAATTAGAAAAACTTTGTACCCTGCTTAATTTAAAATAATTTTTGCAAATCTTTGGGTGTAAAATATACAGCAATTGAGTACAGTACATTGGCCAGCTATCTTTTTGGTTGCTCTAAGGTTGGAAAAGAGCACAGGACAGAAATACAAGACCATACCACAGCACTGAAGGAATAAACAACACGTGCTCAGCTTTTTTTCCCATCAGGATTTCAAAACATGCTTTTTGCTTGAAGAGATGGTAATATAAAGGCAGGGGATAAAATATGATTTTAAGCATCTGAGACAAATCCTCCACTACTCCAATTTGTTCTGTATTACAACTTGTTTGATTCATTTGGGGATGTACTTGTTTGCCAAAGCAAGCAGAGATCAAGCTCTTTGTTGAATATTTAACCTATGCCAAAAATTTTTACCTTTTTAGCATTTCTGTTTGAGTTACAGAGTCATGTTATTTCCAGTAGTGCTCTGGACCACCACGGCCAGGTGCAACCGCTCAGCTTTGCCACGTAAAATCCCTGGGCAAAGGCCTGGCAGAGCTGAACTCCTTTGCCTGCAGCTCAAACCACCCTGTGAAGAGTTTGCTTTCTCCCAAGCATGCACAAAAAAATGAAAAATGGGCTCTTCTCTGGGTAAAATCCAGAAAACACAACTCATGTCACACCATGTGATCGTACATGATGTGATCTGCACCGTGGGAAGTGGCCTCTGTGGAGACTCTAGTTCACAACACAGCACCACCACCAGAACCTCTCTGCAGTCCTTTCAGAGGTTCCCAAATGCCCCTGTGCAGAACCATGAGGGTCCTTCCATTAATCCCACTGGGGTCTGCATCAGCTCCAGATGATGTCTAGAGCTCTAGACAACATCTCCTTCCACAACCAGAGTGACACAGCAGAGGCACAGCTGCCCTGGGTTAAACTGTGCAGTTACCTTCTTCCTTGCTTAAGGTCACTTCCCATTTCTGCTGCTGAGATGTCCCAAATGGTGACAACAGGGAGCCTATTAGAGCTTAAAAACTAGCTCTGTTCCCAGAGGACCAGTGTCCCAAATTCAGTCACGCCAGAACAAGCAGGAGGAAGGGAATTGTGTATGTGTGTCCTGAAAAGTGCATTAAAGATGACAGAGCAGAGGAGGAGAGCTCCTGATCACCACAACCCTCGTTGTACCCTCAAGGGGAGGAAGGGAAAAACTTCCTCTCTCCCAGTGCTTCAGAACTGCAGAACTGATGATAAATCTGTGCACAGGCCACTGGCATTACCTGCTTAACCCAGTAATTAGTTTATGAGCCACCCTTGGGCTCACCTTGATCTACAGGTTTAGTTTTGAGTTACATTGCTCCTGCACTGATGTCTCCTGCTACTTCCTACAGGAAAGGTGCTCTGACCACTGCAGGAGGAAGATAGGGGCACATAGCCTGTGCTCCACACTCATCCCACCCCCGACCTTCCCTGTCCTGCAGTTTAGTCATGGATGACCTGAAAGCATCAAGACCTGGATGCCTCCATGGTGCAAGATGCAGCCTCAGATCACGTCACATTTCCAGCAGCTCATTAAAAGCACCACCTCAGCAAGGCAGCCCAGGAGGAATATGGAGTGTAGGGAGTGCAAGGAAAAGACAAGGAGGGGGTGAAACAAATGGCAGCAGTTTCAGGGAGATGAATAACTGCCTTACAATGAACTTGCTTGCTCACTGTTAGTGAGCAAAATTTGGAAACTCGTGTGTGAAATGAAGCCCTCCGGCAGCCCGTGTACCTGCGGTACCTGGGGAGGGCAGCACGGGGTTGCCCCTTGAACAGGGCTCAGAGCCCATGAATTTGCCCCCCTGGTTCACCCCCTCCTCAGCGTGACAGGAGCAGCTGAACGCCCTGTGCTGGGGAGCTCCCCGCGCTGGCTCACATCCGAGCCACCGCTCATCCCGCAGCAGTCTCTTTAACGATGATATTGCATTTTTCCGTCAGAAAGATCCCAAAATACCTCCCGAGTCACGCACAGGCTGCCGCAGCCCATGCTCTCCTGCAGCTGGGGCTCCTGCCGAGCAGGGAGCACCAAAGCCCCCGGGGATGAAGCCCCCGGGGACGAAGCCCCCGGGCAGCAGCACCTCCCGAGCTCACCCCGCCCGGCACAGGGCAGAGCCAACGTGCTGATGGCACTCAGACCCAGGGGCTGAGTCTGTGCAAACTGCGCAGAGAGGGACACCCGGCACCAAAACTCAAATTAAAACAGAGAGCCAGGATCGCTTCTACGTCCCTAGAACTGAGAGCTTGCCAACAAGCTCTTTGTAAGTGCTAAATACCTTCTATATGTGTCACTTTGAAAAAAGGAGATGTGGCTCTTCTGCACGGAGACACTCCGGCAGAGCAGCTTTCCTTCCCCCCTCCCCTTCGGTTTTTTTTTTCAAGTGTTTAAACATCCTACAAACACTGTTTAGGGAAGTCAGCAGGAGGTCAAATAGAAGCCTTGTGTCTCAGTGGATAACAATCCTTCTGTGAAATCATTCCAGCACGAATCGAGTCACTCTTACATCTCCCTCTCCAGCTTTTTTTTCTTTTATTTTAAAGGCATTTTAGCAAAGCTCACTTTGAAGTTTAAACCTCCTGCAACAACACTGCTTGCCAACAAGATAAAATATTTAGTACTGCTATATACTAAAATCATATCTCTAACAATACCTTCCACGCCTGACATAGCACAAAAGTTAATTCAGCCAACAAAGCAATGCTTGCATTTTGTGTCTCGAGAAGCAGCAATTTATCTTTTTTGTATATATAAATTACATACACCATTGTGCCATTTAAACCTAAAACCTCCTGTTGTTAAATAGACAATAGAAAGATCTTTAAACACAGACAAAAAGATCAGAGCTGTAGGAAGAGCTGTGACAAGTGCAGGAGAATGGCAAAATAAATGCGAAAACCACAATGCTCCCCAGCAGATCCTCCCTGCTCAAGCCAACAGTGTCCTTCACCTTGTGGGGTTGGTTGGGGGTTTTTGGCAGCAGCATCTCCCCTCAGCTATAAAGGCAATGGTATCTATTTGTGATTGCTGGCAAGAGCCCATGAGGAAACACATCCCCATAAGGGCACTGGTAAGGCAGCAAATGCACCACCTGGGCAGGAGGGAATTTTAGGAGCAGCCACTTGCCCGTGTTCACACCACCTCTGCTGTTGCCCAGTTTATTGTGGTTGGTGTGTGACATTTAATGCCTGTGGCTGCCTCTCTCTCTTGGAGGGTCCCTGAACAGATGATGGCAAGCACTCACTGTCATGGATTCAATGGGAAAACAAAACAACTGCAGGTGAGGACAGGCAGTGCCTGCCAGTGACAACAGTGTAGGTACAACGTGCCTGTCACACACCTCCTGCCCCCCCTGCCTTGGACCAGGGACCTGCAGAGTGCTTACCCAGCTCTGTGCATGGCCAGGGAAGGAGAAGCTTCCCCTCTACAGATGTGCTCTGACCAAAGGCAGGAATGGTGCAAGGGTTAGGGAAGAGAATGGAAGGGAAACTTGTCCTGCAATCTGACCTTTTGGGTTTGTTGTTAAAGAAAATAACGGGAATGTTGCAGTGACTGCAATGTTTTGTTGGCAAGGTTGTTTCATTTTAGTTTTGTCTCCACTGTCTTGCCTCCTTTAGTTGCCTCTTCAAAATAAAGAACCAGTAACTACCTTCCCCCAGCCAAAATCCTACCATTTCTGCCCTTGCTTTTATAGGCTGCTCTTTACCATGTGAAGAGGCATCACCTCAGTGCCTCACGTACCACATCCCCCCTCCCAGCATAATTCGATGCATTTTACTCTTTCACATAAAATTAGTGGAAACAGTCCCAAAACGTCTGTCTTCTCCCATCTCTTTGCTGTACTTAGAGCACAAACTCCTCCCCAAGCAATTCAATTCCCCTCTCACATATGCTCAGCACACATGCACTCAGTAATTCCATCTCCACAGAACTGGCTCAGGGCTCCCGAACTCAAAAAAGGCAAACTAATTTAAAACAAACACATAAATGCCTTCCCCTTTTACCTCTTCAGGATGCAAACAACAGCACTGCCAGTGTGAGTCAGGTCCCAGTTCTGGAGATCATCTCCAGAGCTCTGTCTTACCCCAGAACACAGCCCCCTCCACTGGTCCTTGATGCCACCTGGGATCCAATTTGCCTTCCCATCCTTGTGCTCTCCTCTCCCCATCCCTGCCTTGTTCTTGTTCCATTCAAACACTATCTTCAATCTCCCTGTTCATCTCTCAAAGGTTCCCAACCAGTAGCTTTTAAACATTCACATCCTCCTCTGGACTTTGGTGTCTGTCCCCTTGCTGCCCATGGCCAAATCTCTCCCCAGCAGACTTGGGGAGGCCCCTCTGGGAGCTCACATGGAGCAGAAGAGATCACAGCTGGGGCCTTTTTACAACGTGAGGCAAACAAAATCCAGGCACTGCCAGATGACTGTTACCTGCAGCA